GTGCTTTGATGCTGGCAAACTAGTGCCGGAGACCTTATCACATGCAGCTCAATCAATTCCTCAAAGTGATTTTCTGGATAAGAAAGCTCTGGCAGAGCAACAAAAGAATGGGATAAAGTGAAGATTTGTGTATTTTTATCACCATATGTATCCACAGAGAGAGATGGAACTTACTACAGAACTGAACAGAGAAAGACTAAAGGAGAAAAAAACCTCCACAATCTGTTTAAGGGAATTAATTATTCCCTCCTATGAAAAAAATAACTTTAAAAGATCACCAGGATATACGGTGCGTGAACAGAGCATGGACAGAGAATGGGACTCCTCCTTGCCTCTCCACAGTGCTTCAAGTCAAGATCTAAGCTGGTCAGTCAAGAGTCTAGGGATTCATCCTCCTTTCAGTTCACAGCTAATCATCAGCAACTTATCCATGCATGTCCAAACAAATGCATATTACTGCCAGCTGTGATTTGTGCTCTTCTCAATCTGGAACAAGAGAGCAGCATCACTTTTCCTTTGTAGTCGTCAACATGCTGCTATAATATAAAGTGGACTGATATGGATGCAGGTCTGCCATGAACTAAGTAGGAATAATTTTGCATTCCAGTGCCTTTCCATACTGTTCCTAGTCATAGGCACATCAGACAGTTATGTCCTAAATCAGCAAATCCAATTTCCTGCTATCTCAGTCCTATCACTATGCGTAATCCTTTCATGATTAAGCTACTCTTGTTTAAAAGAACTACTTGCTCTAAAATAGGGCAACTGCTCCTTCACAGCCTTCAGCACACAATTGCTTGATTCTGCTGCTAAATAGATGAAAACATGTCTCTGATGCAGAATGTCTCAGGGAAAGCAGACAGGAAACATTCACTGAAATGGCTCCTCAATCCAGCCCATGCCCATCAGGTGCTGCCACATTCATGCAGTAGCATTGTCAGAAGTCTGATGGAAGCCAAAAGCTTCCACAGAAGTTAAAAGCACTAACAAAACACACAAATCAGACTTCTCTCTTGCATTTGTTCCTCAACCTGCAACTCTAAACACTCATCCCATTTGAAAACTCAATTTTATTAAGAGACCCAAATGAAGATATAGGTATTTTCCCTGAGTTTTAAAGGACTTTGTAAGGTTGGTTTCTAACATACTGTTCTCTATGTTTTGAAGTTATATCAGTGCTGTTTTCCTTAATCTGCTCTGGACTTGGCAGAGGTAGATTTCCAATTAGTGTTTTCTTTTCTTTCCTTTTTTTTTTTCTTTTGTTGCAGAAGCTGTACAGCGTCATAGACATCACCTAATTTTATCAAATGCCTATAGGTCAGGGATCTGGCATGTGTCATTTCACCTCCAAGAAGATATTTCCAGTAAATGTACTCTTCAGTTCATACTTAAGAATGGATATTGAGATGACTCAAAAACCTCGTGATAAACTACAAGTGAACTTTAAAAATTTGATTTGAAAAAGCTACTGCATGTTCGGTGTGTTACAGTATGGTAATCAGTAGCTGCATCTATAGGTCAGGGATCTGGCATGTGTCATTTCACCTCCAAGAAGATATTTCCAGTAAATGTACTCTTCAGTTCATACTTAAGAATGGATATTGAGATGACTCAAAAACCTCGTGATAAACTACAAGTGAACTTTAAAAATTTGATTTGAAAAAGCTACTGCATGTTCGGTGTGTTACAGTATGGTAATCAGTAGCTGCATGAAGATCAGCAACTTTTTTTTTAAAGGTCAAGGAATATAGCACGAGCTACTTTTGTAAATGTGATGGAACATAACTATTCTCAGACAAAGGACTGTCAAGTTTCGCCTTCTATAGGAACCCATAACTGGAGTGACTGTTTTTGTGGACATGGAAAATAATAGGATAGTGTTTCTCCTTATGAAGAGGAGGAGTAGCTCTGCCTACTCAGGACAAGATGTCAGGATATCTGGATGTTGATCAAAGCTCTATCAGTCCCTGTGTAATTCTGAGAGCACCATTTTAATCACTGCTTCTCACTAAAAAGTATTACATGTAAAATTATTTTAAAGTTTAATTCATGCTTGTGAATGCTTTGAAATCTTAAATCTGCAGCAATACATTTTTTAAATTCAGCTCTTTTTTCCCCAGTATTTTAAACTGAAATGAAAGAGGGTTTCATTAGCAAGAATAATCTTTTTGCATATCAAACACCCGAGAATTCCTGTGTGCCACTGTTTGATTTGGGGATTGATCCTGTGCAATATGCTTTGGTCCTAATGCAATAAAATGTGCATGAGTCCATTTAAGCATGAACCTTATAGTGATTGCCCTTCTGCTTAAAGCAAGCATTTGCTCACTCTGTGCATTGAAGCCTAAGTGCTTATAAACCAGTGGTTTTAATATCTGTAAGCACTGTTATTTGTGAGAGGTATTCCTACTTGTATTCCCTTGAAGATGTTCTTATATGGCAAATTCCAACTCTGACTTCAAATAACATCTTCAGTTTTGGGGTGTTTCCCCACAGAAGCAGAGGAAGGACCAAGTACTCATTCACACTTCTAACTGTAACAATTTGCATACTTAAAGATAATACGCTTCCCTTTATAGAATCTTCTATGCAAGTCAACATATTTATCTTTAAGAAAAAACATGACCCTGAGGTTATAGCATCTAGCTTTATTTCACATTCTGAAGCTCTCAGAGTGCTTGCAAAACATTCATTTCAGATGTTGTGGAAGCTAGACTTTAGGTATCTGACAGTCATACTGGTTATGCACCAAAAAAATCTGTGTTTTTAATCTCCCAAATCCAGGGTACATAAAGCATATTTTGATATCTATTACAGATTTCAGGAGAAAGAAAAATACAGTACATTTAAGCTTCCCTTTCTACATTGTTTATTAAATATAGTGTAGTAAAAGTAATAATATGCTGTGGAATGTTCTACTGTAATGTAATGTGCGCTTTCAATCCAGGAGTAAAAATTTACTCATCTAAAATTATTTCACTTTCAAAGAACAATTGGCCAGCTGGGTACACACTAGGTAGGCCAAGTTGTCTCTTCCATAGTCCACCAAACCCAATAAGCAAAGGGAGCAGGCTTGAATTCTACTTTTCATAGGCAAGTTAGAATAGGTGACATCATCTATTCTATAGCAAGGACACTGTTGAACATACTTGTGCATGCAGTGAAGTTCACCAGACTCAGAAAAACTCTAAATGAAAAAATAAAAATTAATGAATGAAATAAGACAATTTTCTTTCTTCAGGGGACTATTATTTCAAGTCTGTAGCCTGTCACCAGCCAAATGTAGTTTTACAGTCTTATCAGAAAGTCCTTGGTGTGCTAGAGCTCATAGCGTCTGCAGTGAAATGCTCTGTAAACTCTGTAAATGGTGGTTCTTTTAGCAATGACATATATGTCTCCAGAAGAGAAAATGTTGCACATGAGAGATAAAACAACAAAAGCTAGAGAGTAAATACATGCAAAAATAATTTGCCTTTGCAATAAGGAATACTTGTGGTTTACAGTAAGTAATGCTTGTAAGCTCAGTGTTTGTAGTAGTATTTGCAAATGGGTCTGGAATACTGCAGTTCAGAACTCAATGCCAGTGTTTCCTGAGGGATGCTGAGCTCAGCAATGGGATGCATGCTGTGAGTCTCCAAAAGCCTGGAAAGTAAGATGTTAAGTGTTTTGGCCATTGTCAAAAGCTGCTGAATCTTTGTCCCTCCCAGAAGACAAATGAGAACTTGTTCTCTTTACAGAAGGTCCCTCAGAATCAGAAGTCCTGTGGCTGGTAGTTGCTTAGACCTTTTAGAAACAACAGGCCTATTTGTAAGTGAGGACTAGGACTGCTCCTCTACTTGTGAAAATTCTTTACCCTTTATCTGAACATGAAATATTTAATAGGAAACTGATATAAGACTTAGCTTAAGTCCCATTTACCCATTTGCTATTTCCAAATCTTGAATGTTCTATCATGTCAGTGCAATTAGTCTCTACTAAATCAGGGGTTTGCTTGACATGATACACATATAAAAATCAAGAATATATGCAAGCCTCAACTAAATATTTAATATTTTTCTTCATATTCTGATTCATTATACAATCCCAGTATTCAGTCATAGATGTCTGAAATCTTGCTTTAGTGAAAGACAAGATTTCAGTGAATAATTTACCAAGAAGAATTAAATGTTGGTACAATTCGAGAAAAACAATTTGAAATAAGGAAATGAGTAATCCCATAGCAAATCAGGAAACTTAATTAAAAAATAGTTGTCATTCATGCTGCTTATCTGGATAACCAGAACTGGAAAAATTAAACATGAGGAGTTCTGCCCATACAGTCTCACTGGGTATTATAACGTGACTACCTGTTCTGCTGGCTGCAGATAGAAATTTCTTTAGAATTGTTACTATGCATTTAGTATGTTGTTCAAAACTTCTCACTGTGTGAAGCTTCATATAGTTCAACATTTTTTCCTACACTGTGGGGAATTTTATACAAGTAGCCCTAACATGAAGTTTTTTCAGGCAATCAGCAGAACAGTATGTCTATAACCACAGCCAGGACTGTGATGCTACATCCTCTACAAGGTCTGTGCCAAAGTTTCCTCAGACAGAAGCTGTTACAGGGTTGTACGAAGAAGGTGAGCAATGGGAGGTGTTCTCTGAAAATTTAACATCCTTGGGAACCATGTAAGACTAGAGCTTCTTAAAAAAAGAGAAAAAATGAATAACAAAATTTGCACTGATATACTGTGTATATCAGCAATCCCTAACATTATCTGTTTCTTCAAGAAACCATCTAGTTTTTATGTGGAAGCATTTTTTCTTCTAAAGAGACAATGGCTGCAATTAAAGATCCAACACTATAAATACGCAAGCATATGGCAGAGCAGTAAATTAAAGACAGCAGTGGAAAGATAAGCAATCCCTCAGACAGTGGGATGTTGTGCTCCAAGAAATTGCCTCTTAGCAATTTATTGGCAATTGTCCCCTCCACAACCGCACAACCTCCACAACCACAACTGGAGACTTCTCAGAGATCTTCATCATGCACAGAAAATTATTTAGATAATTGAGGTTCCTCCTCAAATGCATGTGTGCATTTGCAGCAAGGGCCTAGCTCAGGATTCTGGGAAAGCTTTTATGATGCTTTCATAGGCAGGAGGTGGGATTTGTGTGGAGTGGCAGATGCGGAGGCTGTTGTTAGACCAGTGGAATTCAGGTCGACTCAGGCTGTTGGTGGTGCTTCCCACAAGGGTTGTGGTAGTATTTGTGGGAGTGAGGGTGATCAGCTGACTGTTCGTCTCCACAGGGAGGGGAGGACATTGCAGGAAAGGGT